CGCGCGACGGCGCGCGCGTGTACACTTCGTCCAAAAGCAATTCTTGAAAACTTATGATTTTTGCTAACCGAGTTTTGCACAATACGTTGGGGGGCAATTCCGGCCCCCCTTGGACGATGTAAATTTCTATGTGTGGACGATGGGGCAGAATCATCTGTAAATTGCAATACGAAAAAAGGAACCGTTAACTCCAGGGGGGGCGGAGGTCTTTCATTTTTAGTTTTTCTTTCATCAGCAAAAAAAGGTGATCAGTTGCCACTTGCCTAGAACGTATGTGGTGCAAAACGTGTATATGTATACATATACACGTTTCTATAGACACATATGCTTGCCCCCCCCGCGCCCCCCATTGCGCCGTCGATTCCCGCCCGTCGCTCCACCGACTTAATCATCCCTCCTCCTCTTCCTCCTTCTCCTCCTGCTCATCATCCTCTGCTCCTCTCGCGGGGCAGTGCAGCCTCAGGTTGAAGGAAGGGGTAATGATACCGTTGCTGGTGATTGCAAGTCGCGCTGGATCTCACTCCCGTTCAACCCAATTGTCGAGGCTGCAAGGTGGAGGACGCGCCCCGCAACAAAAACACGGCCGCAAAAAACACGGCGCCTCCAACAACGAAGCCCGGCGAACCCGGCTGAACTACAAACAGTCCCGCAACAAACGCCGTAAAGCGGCTCGCTTGGACAAGAAACGCAAGGAACTGTTCCCACAATTCGACTCTGCGTTCCATACGGAAATCAAGGTCAAGGCGTTGTGGCGCCAAGATGCGACGACGGGGGATAACGGCCCCGCCCACAGCGGTAGCAATCCACCCCCCACGCCCAAACACACGGACATGACGATTGATATACATATCCGTTGTGCCCCAGCAAGCGCGGGATTGGGCTGAGAAGATCAAGGGCCTTAAGTCCCTGAACACTTCCCTGCGGGAGGCCGGAGCGGCGAAACACAGTGAGAACTACAAACTGCGCGAATCCACGGGGCTACAAGTTCAGCAAAGCGCCCCTTTCTCACCATGCTGTTTCGGTTCGGCGAATCGCGCCTTGCGAAAAAATATATGGAAAAAACGCCCCGCGAAACCGCGTACGCTCGCGGGGAGTGACGGCGCGCGGCGTTTTTTTGCAGAAGGTTAAACTTGACCAGGATGTGTCGGACGCTCTGCTGGTTTTGTGGCCGACTGCCGACGGCAGGAGAGGGCCCTGTCCCTCCCAAATAAAAAAAAACAAACCAAGCATGCACAGCGTTTGGCGTCCTCGATGCAAGGAAACGCTGTTTGTGTTTCTTGGGGAGCAAGGGCACACTGTTTGTTCTGTTGTGTTGTTTTCTTGTTTGTTGGTTTTGCAGGCTCATGGAAGCGTGCTGGGAGGGAGGCCCCGGCGAACAGTGGAACACCCAAGGCCCCCCAACACAAACAAAACAAATGAGCAATTTGCTGCGCAAGAAGCAACAAAAACAGGCATACACAACGTTTTCTTGTACCGAGGGCGCGAACAACTGTGTGGTTTTGTTTTCTGAGTCTGGGAGGCGCAGAGAAGGGTGCTGGGAGGGAGGCCGCGGCGAGCATTGAGGACAGAAGCGCAACAAAAAACAATCCACCTGACATACCCAGTGCTTCCTTGCTACCCATACCAACAAGCAGAACACGACTCATCATACACAATGTTTCCTTGCACCGAGGGCGCTGGCCGCTCTATTTTTGTTTCCGTGTTGCTACGTTCAAGAAGAGGACGAGGAGGAGGGGGAGCAGGAGGAGGAGGAGAGCTGTTGTGCTGCAGTTGCAGGAGGAAAAGGAGGAAGAAGACGAGGAATGGGGAAGGACACGCGACTCGAATGACTCCGCCGAGGAAGCGAGGGAGCCACGACTGATTAGAGGAAAACGCGGCTATTCCGAGGCCGCGTGGGTGTCACCTCTCCAGGGAATCCCCGTGCGCGGGTGGCACTTGGCCTTGAGATTTCTTTGGGCCGTGGAGCGAAGCCTACTAGTCTCCCAATCGACGGGGCCATTACAGTGGGCCATCAACACTGGGGACTGGCGGGTGGATGCTGACCCCCCGCAGTTCAGACAGTAGACGAAAATAGGCCTTCGGTGACCACATGGTGTACCCGCACTAGCTGAAAAAAGGTGGCTCAGGGATACTCGACACAGTACCGGGCCCACTCGAGGCCGCGCTCGACACAGCGGGCCCCCCCACTTCAGCAGCCCTGTTGCTTGCGACCGTCCACCCCTGATCGCCAGCCGCGGCTCCCAGGGCACGATCCGCCGCCGCCGCGAGGGCGATCGAGATGACCTCCTCGAGGGCTGCCGGCAGCGGCGCAGCAGAAGGAGCAGAGGCGGCAGAGTAGGGGAGGCGTGCACGAGCACGCGCCATCATTCTCTGCCAGGCCGAGGGCGCACAGTCTGCGCGCTCCAGTCGCCTCCACCCTGTCTCAGAGCTCGCCGAAGCCAGACAAAAGTCCGCATTGCCAGCTCGACCCGCGCCGAACCAGCGGATGTCGTTGCTGTGCGAGCTCGACAGGTGCAGGAGTGGCAGCAGCTCGGGACCTTTTTGGGATGGCCTCGTGGATGTCATCCATGGTCGTGCCGACCGCTGCCATCAACAACGCTAAAAGCTTGGCCTGCTCCTTGGCGCCCGCCATCTTAGCGCGGAAAACGTCGTGGATGGCTCGGGGTAGCACGTGCAGCTGGGCCCCAACCTTTCGCGAAGAAGTCGGCCCATGCATTGCCGTAGAAGTCGCCAACGTGGTGCCTGCCGGCACTCTGCAGGAAGAAGTCCACATCTTTGTGCGCTGGGCACCATGTCGCTCCAGGTCGTGGGAGGCCGTCCATGTGCTCGAACATGCCGCGCCAGATGTCAGCATACTGGCCGCGCGCACCGGCCAGCTCAGGGTCCCAGCTCTCGATCTCGGCGGCCAGGGCCGACAAGTCAGTGACAGCATGGGAGACGTACAGCATCAGGCGCAGCATCTGCAGGAAAGCCCAGCGCCCCGCACGGCCGACGGCCTGGCGCCGCCCAGGTAGCGCGCCAAACACCGCCCTGACGGGCATGATGTGGTCGTTCAGCTGGACCACGGCCCAACCGGCGGCAAAGCTCAGGCCACGCGGTGTCGAAGCCCGACCCGTCGTGGTAGGCTATCGTGCTACGTGAGTTGAGCGGCGATTCCGAATCGCCCCAAATGTGCACCTCGGCCTCCAGCGCTGCCAGCCTGACCAGCTGCGGGAGGAGCGGCAGGCCGACCACCAAGTCGAAGCGGTCGTAGTCCTGGTGGGCAATGCCGACCCCAGCGTCATCCTTAATCCTGTCGCGTAGCTTGAGGAGCTTCTCAGGCAGCTCCTCCAACTTCCCTCCGTCCCCATCGTCGCCTCGCGTCAAAATGTGCGGGCAGTCATAGAGCTGATGCCCCTTGGTGCACGGCGCATCGCCTGGTTAGGAAGGGCAGGCCGCCGACGCGAGGTAGCCAATAGCGTACCTCTTGACCAGGTCCCAGGACGCCCCAACCCACAGCCTGCGCAGCTGCCCAGCCCGCGCGCCCTTCACCACGGCCTTGGGCGGAGTCAAGACCCTGCGCATAGCACGGTGCCACAGCACAGCGTCGGCCGGCACCGCCTCATGGTGGCTGAGAATCTGCCGACCCTGCCATCGAGCGATACCCGCTCGAAGGATGTGGGCCACGTCTTTGGGCGGTGTCTGCAGCCACTGCAGAATCTCGCCCTCGTCGGTGACCAGCAGCAGGCTGGAGTGCATCATCCAGCCGATCCTCACCAGGCTCACCCACGCAGCTGCCATGGGCCCACGGAGCCCATGCCATGACGGCTTGGCCTCGAGCCACTGCGGGAGGAACGGGGAAGGAGGAGAATGAGGAGGAGGAGGAGCAGGAGGAGGACGACGACGAGCAAGCGATCAGTGAAGGTGTTGTGGTCTTTGAAAGCAAGCATGCTGCAACATCACCTCTTTGTTGCTGTATGTTTCGGACCACTCGATTGTGCAATTCTTACGAAACCTACATGCCCCTTCTAACCAGACTCCAGCATGCGCGCGCGACGACGCGCGCGTGTACACTCCGTCTCAACTTTTTGGCAGGGGAGCCCTGTACACTGATGATGTTTGATAAACGAGTGTGCGCGTAGTGTTTTTTGCCGAGAATGGTGTGTGTGTGTGTGTGTGTGTGTGTGTGTGTGTGTGTGTGTGTGTGTGTGTGTGTGTGTGTGTGTGTGTGTGTGTGTGTGTGTGTGTGTGTGTGTGTGTGTGTGTGTGTGTGTGTGTGTGTGTGTGGGGGGGGGGTCGAACCTGGCTTGGGTGGGATGCTAAGAACTCATAATTCGAATGAACGAATGGACATGATCACATGTGAATTGCACATTTCCAGGGTGTAACGACAATCCTGGAGGGATCGGGGTGGTATATCCCAATGCTTTAAAGACGCGAGCTTCTCCTTCGGGCGGCGACAAAGCGGCGACGGCGGCAACACAGCCGCCAGACCGACGCACAGCCCCTGACGTCGAGCGGTGACGAGGCGGCGACGGGGTGGCGACGGCGGCAATATAACCGCCAGACCGATGCACAGGCCCTGACGTCGGGCGGCGAAGAAGCGACGATGGGGCGGCGACGACGGCAACATGGCCGCCTAACTGGCGCACAGCCTCAGATGTCGGGCGGCGACGAGGAGGCGACGGCGGCAATATTGCCGCCAGACCGACGCACGGGCCCAATTCCTCAGAGAATCAGCACCCCTGAAAGACGGGCCTGCCGTTGCCAGGGCCAACGATGCTGTGAGGCAACAGCTCTCCCGCCCTGCCCAAATCAAGTCGAAATCGGTCCCCAGATATCTTCCGGAGTCAACACTGACGCGCTTTTCGAGGCCGATCCAGCCTTGGAGACGAGAAGTCTCCAGAAGGCCCAAGACATTCGAATAACGCTGGGAAGGCCACCGTTGTCTCGACTGGACCTCCTCCCAGGTCCTCCTCCTCCAGTGTGGAGGACTCCTGCGCGACGCGAGCAAGTGGCACTCCTGTCTACGAGGATCTGCGTGCCCCGGTCGCTCATCTCGAAGCCGTAGTGGCGGATGAAGGCGTGGGGCTTGATGCCCGCACACCTGAGGTTACATGGAAGACATGTAAGAACAGGAGGGAGGTAACGTCAGCCAACATCGACTTCAGGAATCGGACCGAACCAGAATTGGCATCAGATCGGCCGCGTCAGTATGCACAGCAGCGACGCGAAGAGGAGCAGGAGGACCATCAGGTCCTGGCGCCACCAACCGATCGAAACTGGCGGATGTCCACCCTTGTCCAGCCGCTGGTCGGGCCTCGGAGCTGTGGGGATGAACAGCCGGCCCCACAGGACGGGGCCGAGAGTGGTCCTTAGGGCACGCGTCGCGACACAGTCGTAACGCCGGACGTCTCCGGAATGGGGGGCGATGAGGAGGTTGGGGAAGAGAAGGGTGGGGGAAGCGTGGAGATTTGGGGCGAGGGATGGGGACGAGGGAGACGGAGAGGCATTCGTGGCGGAGGAGGGAGAAGAGAATGGGGGAGGCTGAGGGGAAGGGGGGGGGAGCATGAGTTTCAGAAGCAGGAGGAGGACACGAAGTGGCCAGCAGAAGAAGCGGGGGGACGATGCGGAGCAGGGTGCTGGAGCAGGGAGCTCTGCCCGGCGCGCTGGTGCCATGCTGTGCTGAGCGCTGGTCGCGCGGGCCTTGCCCGCAGCGTGCCATCCGTCGAACGTGGGCCCCGCGGCGTGGCTCGGCGGAGTGCGGCCGGGCCCCGAACGGCCTGCGGGGAGGTGGGGCGGGCTGGGGAGGCAGGAGGTACAGTGGAGGCCAGTCCACAAGAAAGCTTCCGCAAGAAACCCAACCCTGAGGCCCCCGGCCGTCCATGGATTCTTGGTGCGGGAGCGCCACTTTCCCACAGCAAGACCATCGAAATTCAAGAAACCCATGGCACCCTGGAGGCAAGCAAGTTGCTTCTTGGCATGGGCCCCCACTGCATGGGAGGGAGCGGGGTAGGCTAGCCGTGATTGTTCCCATCGCTGCCGCCAGGCAGAACGATAAGGTCCCCTAGTTTCGCTTCCATTGCCAAAGCCCCGACGCGCTGAGGCCTGGAGCAGCCTAAGGCGGTACCCATCCGCAGATCACATGCCTCCCATAATCTGTCCAACCGGAAGGCTGTACCGCTCTGGCGGATCACGCCCCCTTTGCGAGACTTGGCCAAACCGACTGGCTGCATTCCCACGGGGATAAGAATCGCAAGCCGAGCAGACAGGAAAGGGCCCCACGGACAAAAATCTGTGCGGGCGGCCCTCTGCCGTGCAGCATGGAGGAAGACTGGATGGGGACGAGGCTGCAGCGCAGGCACCGAATGTAAGGTGCGGGAGCAGGAGGAACGGGAGAAAGAGGCGGGAAGGTGGAGGAGTGAGGTAGGAGGAGTGAAGACGGAGGAGGAGGGATAGACATGATGATAATGATGATGCTGATGATGATGCTGCTGATGATGATGCTGGAGGTGATGATGCTGATGATGATGCTGATGCTGATGATGATGGTGCTGGTGATGATGATGAATATTATGATGATAATGATGATGCTGATGAAGCTGATGCTAATGATGATGATGAGGAGGAGGAGAAGGAGGATGAGGGTGAGGATGGTGATGGTGATGCTGATGATTCTGATGATGAAACATACACAACTGTTGGCGTTTCATATGATTATGATGTTGTGGTTGATGGTGACGATGATGATGATGATGAGGAGGAGGAGGAGGATCATCATGATGGTGAAGCTGGTGAGGACGACCATGATGATGATTATGCTGCTGATTATGGTGATGATGCGGATTGCAGCGAAGAGGAGAATCATGGTGATGAGGGTCGTGATGCTGATGATGCTGCTGGTGATGGTGATGGTGCTGCTGCTGATGATGATGACGGTGATGAAAATGCCGAAGCGAACGGCGGAGCGGGCTCGCGCGCACCACACCAAGGTTCCGTACTTGAGCGACATCACCTCGTCCTGGGGGCCAAGTGGCGTGGGAGCGAAGAGGGCAGGGATTGGTCAACATCGATTTGGGAAATCGGACCGAACCAGAATATTTTTTCCAGCTCAACAGCCACACGACGATGCATGCACTTCCCGCGAGACGTGCGCATCTCCGCCGCGAAGCTGCCCCGCGGCAAGCCCACGGGAGCGGAAGGTGGCCCATGCAAAAAGTACTCACTACTACTACTACTACTACTACTACTACTACTACTACTACTACTACTACTACTACTACTACTACTACTACTACTACTACTACTACTACTACTACTACTACTACTACTACTACTACTACTACTACTACTACTACTACTACTACTACTACTACTACTACTACTACTACTACTACTACTACTACTACTACTACTACTACTACTACTACTACTACTACTACTACTACTACTACTACTACTACTACTACTACTACTACTACTACTACTACTACTACTACTACTACTACTACTACTACTCCTACTCCTAACTCCTACTACTACTACTACTACTCCTACTACTCCTACTCCTACTCCTACTACTACTACTACTACTACTACTACTACTACTACTACTACTACTACTACTACTACTACTACTACTACTACGACTACTACTACTACTACTACTACTACTACTACTACTACTACTACTACTACTACTACTACTACTACTACTACTACTACTACTACTACTACTACGACTACTACTACTACTACTACTACTACTACTACTACTACTACTACTACTACTACTACTACTACTACTACTACTACTACGACTACTACTACTACTACTACTACTACTACTACTACTACTACTACTACTACTACTACTACTACTACTACTACTACTACTACTACTACTACTACTACTACTACTACTACTACTACTACTACTACTACTACTACTACTACTACTACTACTACTACTACTACTACTACTACTACTACTACTACTACTACTACTACTACTACTACTACTACTACTACTACTACTACTACTACTACTACGACTGCTGCTACTACGACTACAACTATTCATACTCCTACTCCGACTCCTACTCTTACTACAATTATTACAACTTCTACAACTACTACAATTGCTACTAAACCAAGCGGCGCGGTTGAAACCCTTGCCCCAGCCAAAGCTAAACACAACCTAGCAAACATTACATGGGGAACGTGCGTCGGATCCGGCTGCGTCGGACCGGAACCAAAAGCGAATCTTGTCGGCCGCGTCAGGATGCACAACAACGCCCGTGTGATCATCGGGTCGCATCGGGCCGTCGGAATACGGCTTCGTATCGGATCGGGCCGGCTGGAACCGACATCGAATCGGTTCGGACCCTGGAGGGCGGAGCCTGCAGTTTTCGGGCGTTCTGGAGATATCTGGAGGTCCCCAACCTCGTGGGTAGAGTAGAGAAAATATGGGAGGAGGGAGGACGGAGGACGGGGGGGGGGAGTAAGAGAAGTATCATGAGTAGTAGGGAGAGCAGAATGCGGAGGGATCGGGGGGAACGAACAGTGGGGGAAGGTGGGAGGCAGACTCTTGGTCCTTGCGCTCTCAGGTGTCCTCGGTACGGATATCGCATGTCGCAGCACCCCCAAACTCCGTGTTGCCAGCAATTGTTATTCCTCGCGCCCTTCCACAAACTACTCTGACTTCTTCACTGCCTCCTTCTCGTTCCGCTCCCCCGCCACCCACGCCCGTTCTCCTGCTGCTACCGCTGCTGCTCCTCCCTGTGCTCATGCTCCCCCTGCCTCTCCAACTCCTCCTGCTCTTCCCGCAATTGGGCGGTCCCCCTTCTTCACGGTCACGACACTGCCGTCAACCTTCTGGACGAACGCCTGCGAGAGGGGAGTGCGGGAGGGCACGGGCATTGTACTTCCCAGGCGGGCGTCTATCTCTCACAGCGTACGCTACCCAGTTCGAGAGCAGGGTGCGGGCGCGAGACGCAGGGCGATGCCAGCACCGAGAAGAGACGGCGAGTGGCCGACGTGTCGCAACAACCACCACGACAACGGATGCACAATGAATAAGACATGCCCTGGCAACGGGGGAGCGCCGCTGTTTGAACACGTGATGCGCGCAAGCGCAAGCGCCGCAAGCGCGCACGTGGAGGGAAACAAACATGGCGACACATGCAGCACCGTCACTGGGAAATCTGGCCCAGGGGCCTCCTGTCAAGGAGGGATGTGGATGAAGGCGGGAGGAGGACAGAGGGAAGTGACGAGGATGACTGCGAGGAGGACGACGAGGAACGCGAGGAGGCAGGGACGACTACAGGGAGGACTGCGGAGGAGCGAACACCAGGAGACGGGGAAGGGGTCGTGAGAGGAGGAGGAGAACGGGTACAGCGGTCCCGCGACATGTCGCACAGCTGGGGCAAGCTTCTTACAAGGGAGGCTGCTTCTAAGAAGGCGCCGGCCCTACATCTACAAACAAGGCCCGCGCCTTCTAAGAAGCAGGGGTGCTTCTAAGAAGCCTTCCCTCCTTCCCCCCACCTCCCCCTGCGCGTGGCCGAGCCTCGGTGCTCACCGCTGCGCGGCGCCCCCTGCGTGCGGGGAGAGAAGGCGGCGAGCACAGAGCCGAGCTTGGTAGCCCCGGTGGGGCGGCGCAGGGCCGCCGCGCCGTCCTGCTGGCGAGAAGGCGGCTTTCATGGAGCCGATCGTCGGCGTTGCAGGCGTGGGGCCCTGAGGGGTGGGGCCCTAAGGATGGGAAAGGATCCCAGGCTGAAGTCACGCTGCTTGAGGCCCACCACCTCCTCTACGGGGCGGACGCCTTTGGACCCCCTGGGACTCCGCAGGACTTCCACAGACGCCCGGAAGCGTCCAGAACCTCCTCGATCCTCGACCCTCCCTCATCCTCCTCGTCGATTCTCGATTTCCCATAGCTGTGAACCCCCTTGATGCTGCCTGGTATTCGGGCTCGCAGAGCCACCGTAGGGAGGGGATCGGAGCAGGATGAGGAAGAACTGGCGGTGGAGGAGGGAGGAGGCGACGGAAGCCCGCCTCGAGGAGTACCTTGACGTTCTGCTTGCCCTCCAAGTGCTTTATCGCGTAGTCCTGAAGCTCCTGGGTGAGTGGGGGGGGGGGCGAGGAGGGAGGGGGACGAGGAGGGCGAGGAGCAGGAGGTTGAAGAGGAGGAGGCAGGAGGATGAGGATGAGGGAGGGCACCTCTTTCCTCTCCTTGCTGCTCTGAATTCCTACCCTTCTTCTCTCGCCCCCACCCTGGGGCGCGGGGGGACCAGGCTGCCCCGCCCCCTGGCGGGGGGTCCTCTGCCCGTCGTGCTCTCCCACTGTCTGTTGCATCTTGCGTGCCTGGCCTGATCACCCCCCCGGCGGCGACTAAGACGAAGTCAGGACGAGGATGACACTTTGGACGCCCGAAATGGGCACGGAAAGAGTGGGCACAGTGCCCAACGACAAATGTTGCCCCAAAACAACAGCGGCCGCTGTTGGGCAGGCGGCCTCCTGTCTCAAATGGACACAGGCCGCGGCGGCGCGGACAGCGAGCCCTGTTCAAAATGAACAGGAACTGCTGTTGGGCATTGTGCCCATTCTTTCCGTACCCATTTCGTTCGTGCAGAGACACCAGGTGAGGATACATCGAGAATCTCTGAGATCCGGTGGCTCTGGAGGAAGTCTCGGGCGCCACAATCTTCTCTGACCTTTCCGGAACTCTCGGAGAGCGTTCTGAACCGTTCTGGAACAGATTAGTCCTCGTCCTAGGCCCGTCCGACCCAAGCAGAGACCGCCGCCGTTGGGGGGAGGGCAGCAACGGCAACAGAGGGAGGAATGAGGCGAGGGAGGGGGGACGAGGGCGAAGAGGAGGGGGGACAGTTTTTTCTTCTTTTTCTTTCGAAGAGGAAGGGTGCGGTGCCCATCGTCGAGGGAGGACCACTGTCTCGGCGACCGCGCCGGATGGAACCTCCCTCGGCGGCCGCGCGCCAAGAGCGAGGTCCCACCGCAGCGGCCGCAGGTCCTGTGGTATGCGCATGGTGCGCCAGCGCGCGAGCGCGGGCGGGACTACGATTTTTTCTTCAAAGGCGTGCCATCCGTATCATGGAACACACACACACACACGCACCACACGCAACCGTACACACAAATTGACGGCGAGCGCAGGGGGGAAGTGAGAGGGGGCGGGCCTTCTCATAAGGCCCAGAAGTCCCCCAGTCTGCTGAGATCTTTTCTAAGCCTTCCCCAAAGAAACATCAAACTTTTCAGAAGGCTGGAGGGCTTCTGAGACGCCCCGCTGCCTTCTGAGAGGGCCTCCTCCTCACTGCCCTCCCTCGCTCGCCGCCGAACAAACACAAACACAGACACATACACACACACACACGCACACACACACACACACACACACACGCGCACACGCACGCACACGCACGCGGACGCAGACGCACGCACACTCGCACAGACGTACACACGCACTCACGCACACACGCACAGGATCACACACGCACACACGCACACACGCACACACGCAAAGACGCACACACGCGCACACGCGCATACGCGCACACGCGCACGCAGCACACGCAGCCACGCAGCACACTCAGCACACGCAGCACACGCAGCACACGCAGCACATGCAGCACACGCAGCACATACAGCACACGCAGCACACGCAGCACACACACACACACACGCACACACACGCACACCCACACGCACTCGCACACCCACACGCACACCAACAGAGACACACAGACACACAGACACGCAGACACACAGACACACTGACACACAGCCTCACAGCCACACAGTCACACAGCCACACAGACACACAGACACAGACACACACAGACACACACACACAGACACACACACAGACACACACACAGACACACACACACACACGGCACACACACACACACACACACGCACGCACACACGCACGCACACGCACACACACACACACACACGCACACGCACACGAAAAGGAACACGCACACACATACACGCACACGCACGCGCACGCGCACACATACACACGCACACACGCACACACGTACACACGCACACACGCACACACGCACACGCACACGCACGCACACGCACAACGCACAAGCACACGCACACGCACACGCACACGCACGCGGACGCACACGCACGCGGACGCACACGATCACGCACACGCGCGCACACGGACACGGACGCGCACGCGCACGCGCAGATACAGACATACACACATACACATACACGCATGCACACATACACACATACACGCACGACCACGCACACTCACACATTTTTGCGTCGGCGGCTGGGCAGAGGGACTGCTCCGGCGATGTGGCACTAGTGGGTCACACAAAACGTGAATTAAGCCGCAGGGCACGCGGCACACACACGCACACACACACACACACGCACGCACACGCACACCCACACGGACACACCCACACACGCACGCACATACACACAGGCACACACACCCACACTCTTCAATACACACGTACACACATATACACATACACAGACACACTCACACTCAAGCACACCAAATACACAACACACACCAAACAGGCACACATATACACACACACACGTACCATAAAACACCCACACGCGCATAGACAACAACGTAAATGTGCGTGCTCCGCTGTCAGAAATGAACAGAAGGCAAGCAAGCGGTACAGCGAGACAAGACGACGGGTCGCGTCGGGAATCACGGCCGCAACCGCGCCCTGCCTCCTGCGGGCTCTGCGTCCTCCTGGCCTTGGGCCACGCCGCCACGCCATGGGAGCGCAAGCGACCTCGGCGCACCTCATCGGAGCGGTACAATCCCATGGCCACGAGACGAAAACAACATGAGGACACATCCGGGTGAAGATAATGACGCCCTTGCGGCCAAAGACCGTGAACGGCTTTACGAAATTCACGATGGGTCAGGGGATTGGAACGGTTCCGATACCGCTACCCTTCCGTCGTCGCCACGGCTGGATCCGCCTCGAAATCCTGATCGGAACGCACCCGGGAAAGGTCTGTGCCACGACGGGGCACAATGGGCTCCCGTGCAGACAAGCTGTTTAGGGAATCAGGACCCTCGTCTGGATGAGAACGAGGATGAGTTCAAAGAGGATCCGCCACCGTGCCTCGAGGCACGAAGTGCAGCGTTCCGCAGGCTTCCAGAGTTCTTTGCACCCGAAAATGATAACAAATTCGAATACGGGGCAGGGAACGAAAGATCTCAATTCTTCCCCGCGATCCCGCGCGATCCCGCGCGTTCGCATGCTTCCCCTCATGAATTTTTTAGAGGCCCGAGGGCCTCGATGACTGGTCAAGGGGGCCCAAGAGGCCGTCAAGACGATTCAAGATGGCCCCGAGTCGTTTCAATGTAGCTCCAAGGCGCCCAAGATGGCTCACAGACTGCCCCAGAGGCCACCAAGAAGAGCCAAGAGGGCTCCAAGAGGTCCCCTGAGAAGGCCCAAAGATGCCCGAATCACTGAGTTTCCGTTTTTTTGTCTTCTAATATTTTAATGCTCTCGCCTTTTCGGGCTTTCGACGCTCTAGGATGGCCCAAGAGGCCCCCAAGATCGCTCTACGACGGCTTAAGAGGTCCCCAACAGCGAACCCAGTTGGCCAACGATGGGAACGTCGGAGAAAGAGGGGGATGGCATCTAACGAAGGGTATGGCGACCCCAGTCTCCGACTTTGTGGGATTAATCGTAGGCCAGCAAACTTGGGGCCAAACTCGGGGATGCACGATGGGCGGCGTTTATCCTCGACAGGGGCCGTGTCTGGACAACTCTCCGTGTGTGTGTGTGTGTGTGTGTGTGTGTGTGTCACGAGTTCCTCTCCGTTTCCGAACGGCCTGATTCTTTGAGGGGAACTCGGAGCCTGGCGAATTTAGACAACGGCGCTTCAAAATTGGTTTCCGGAAACCCTCCTGGGACCCGGGGCTCAGACGCACCAGCTTTCCAAGCTGCGTCCGGCCGTGGCGACGAGGGGGGAAGCCCGAAGGCCATCCAGCGTGGTGTCAACTCGCCCTCCTCCAAGCGCCGCCTGCTCGCATCGCCTCACGGAGGCCAAGTCGTGGACCCCCCCACCACGCACTCCCGATGGGCCCCGTGCCCGCGCCTGCTCGCGCGCGGGCTCCTGGTCGAACGTGTTCAGCAGGTCGTAGGTGAACATGTGCACCGATACGTATTCGCTGGGCGGAGGAGGGGGCGGAGGAGGAGGAAAGAGGGAGGACTGACGATAGGGGGAAGGAGGATCGCGGGGAATGGGGGGGGGTCCGAAGGAACAGGAATGGGAAGGTCATTCGGGGAAGGTGGGCGAGGATGATGAGGAGGGCCGAAGGGGAGAGTTGGGGAAGGCAGACGCGGACGAGGCGAAAGAGGATGAAGAGAAGGAAGGGGATGATGATGACAAGGCGGAGGAAAGGAGGGGGCGGAGGAAAAGGAGAAGGAAGGGTAGGGGCAGGACGAAGAGGAGGGGAGGGGGCGGGGAAGTTCTTAGGGGCGGAGGGGGGACACGACGAAGAGGAACACAACAACGAAAGAGGACGTACCTAATAATGACAAAAAACAGGAGACGAGGAGGAAGAATAAGCGCATCTCATCGAAGTGAAAAAAGGTGAACACAGGGAAACAGAGGATGTGAACAGCATGAACATGAGGATGTTACCCAACGTGGGCCCCAAACGATGTGTTCTATCATATATTGCGGTACAAAAGCAGTGAGACAAATGATTTGTCATCTGTATGTGAGGTAAGTAATGTGGTGTAAGCTACGCGGTGCAATCCATGTGGTGCATTATATGTGGTGCATTATATGTGGTGTAAGAGTTGTGGTCTAATCAATTTCTGTTCGTAGTGAATTGTCAACTCCACTGCTCGCGCAACCATCCCAACTACCCACCCGCAACTTGGTTTGCGAAACACATGCGGTGGCGATTGCGATGAGTGCTTTGCGTTGGCTGGTCCATTTCTGCGGCCACGCCAACCCAAGCACGCGCGCGCAGCGGCCAACCAGTTTGGCGCGACCGACGCGGCCGCGGTGGCTCTGACCCCTGGGCACATCCCAGCGGGTACTTCAGTGCGAGCCGGCGACTTGGGCGGGCGCGGTATCATGGCAACGTCGACAACGGTAGACACGACGGCGCGGCCACTGCAGGCGACGATGCTGATCCCGCCGACGACGATGACGGCGTCCTCGCGTCGGTAAAGAGGGTTTTGGAAAGAGTTGGACACGCGCGCGCGGCCGACGCGCGAGAGTGGCCCGCATGGTATTCTTTGACACGGGTCGTGCCCCCCCCCCCCCCCCCCCGCACGCGCGCAAGGGCGCCCGAGTGATTTCGGCTTGCGGCGCCAGAGGCCCGTTTGGCAGAATTCTATGAACATGTTGTGAAATCGCTACGATGCCGAAGGTTTTTGACGGATTCCGGCATGCGCGCGCGACAACGCGCGCGCACGTCGTCCCATTTGTTGCGCACAGTTCTAGCGACGGCACGCGCGCAAAGGCGTGCGAACGATTTCGACATGCGCGCGCGCGAAGTCCGCGTTGTGGCATTTTCTGGACATGTTGAGAAACCGATGGCTTTCTCGAGAATTTGCAAGAGCGCGCAAGCTTGTTGTGAAAATCCGTGTAGCGAAACCATTTGGTTTATGAGTGCTTTTGACACTCGACGTTGATATCCTTACGAAGCCGAAGGTGTTTGACGGATTTCGGCATGCGCGCGCGTGTGCGCTTCGTTTCATTTGTTGCACGGGATGGCTGAAAACTGATGGCTTTTGATGAACGCATGCGCACGTATTTTTTTGGCAGAGGATGACGGGGGGGATACTGGCTCGGCTGGGATAGTATGACTTTATATTCAGGATGTGCGATGGGACAGAACAGTATGTAAATTGCACTGCGAAAAAGGGAACGCATAATCCTGGGGTGGTGGTGGTGGTAGAGTCCATTCTCTTTTTTCAAGAGAGCCTATGCGGTGTTTTCCATGTCCTGCAATATATGTTGTGCAATGCATGTGGTGTAAGCATTGTGGTGCAAATCGTGTGGTGAAATTACATTTGAAAAGCTTTGGACCTGATAACTCCACTGCTCGCGCAATCACCCAACCCCCCCACCCGCAACTTGGCTTGCTAAGCCCATGCGGCGGCGGCTGCGATGACGCACCCCTGCGGCCGCGCTAGCGCGCGCAAGCCCGCGCGCAACACTCCCACCTAGTTTGGCGCAGCCGACTCGGCCGTGGTGGCGCTGACCGATGGGGGCTGCCCAGCCGCTCCGCATGCCGCGCTGGCGCGCGGGCACTTCAATGCGGATCGGTGACTCGGGTTGGCGCGGTGCCGTGGCGACGCCGGCAACGACTGCAACGATGAGGACCGTAGCGGTGATGGTGGCGAAAATGACGATGGCGGCGGCAAGGCCAATGACAGCGCCGATGCCGGTCACGCTGGCGGCGATGTTGATGTCCACGCGTCGGCGATTAACATGTTGACGGGATTTCGACGCGCGCGCGCGGCCGACGCGCGCGAGTGGCCCCCGCGTGACTTTACTTGACAAGATGGCTTCCCAGCATGCGCGCCAGGGCGTTCGAATGACTGCGACATGAGCGCGCGGGAGGCCCGCGTGCTCTCATTTGACGAGCGGCGGAACGGGCCATCAGGCCCAGTTCCCTTGGAGACACATCACAAGACAACTCGCCGCTTGGGCCCCACCGCCAGCCCCAACGGCGAGCATCAATCAGGCGTAGCATGCCCACACTTCGTTCGCGTAAACATCGAATTCCTCCCCGTCCTCCTCCCCATCCTGATCGTCGTCGTTGTTCTCCTCCTCGTCCTCATCATCCTCCTCGTCTTCCTCAAGCTCCAACTCCTCCTCGTCGTCCTCATCTAAGACCTCGTCCTCGTTTCTCCTCTTCCTCCTCCTGCTCATCCTTCTTTTCCGGGCACCTGGCTTGCGCCAAAGGTTGCGCCATAGGTTGCGCCCTCGGCGGCCGAGAAAAAAAACCGTCTCCGATCGGTTGCGCCATAGGTCGTGCCCTCGGCGGCCGAGAATAAAACCGTCTCCTATCGGTTGCGCCATAGGTTGCGCCCATGGCGGCCGAGAAAAAAACCGTCGCGTAACCAGTCAGTTCAGTTCAGTTTACCTTGCGAGAAACAAATTCGGCCTACGCCCGAAATGAGAACCCCTACGTGGAAGCACTGTTTGGGGAACGAAGATGAGGATTAAGCGGATGCCGCGATGAGAACGAACACGTGGACCGCAAGGGAAGGAGACGACCAAAAAGGATTAGCCCTGTTGACCAGGTTGTGGACGGCAAAAAGGGAGGGTTGACCCGCGGACCTACTAGAACCCCGCGAGCCCCCCTGACGCCTGAACGCCACGCTCCACCTCTTCTTTCCTCCTCCTCCTCCTCCTCCTCCTCCTCCTCCTCCTCCTTCTCCTTCCTCATGAGCGAAGAGGGGGCGGCGGATAACAGGCTCTCCTGATACCCCCGTAGTTCTTCTTGCCTTCGGACTGCAAGAAATCTGTCAACTCCCCCGCCAACTCAACTCCTCGCGGCGCGGGGGACGAGACCAGCTGATACTCTCTGCTCCATCATAAGGTAAGCAACCAAGAACGAAACATCGAGAACCCCGCTGCCGCTCAGCAAGGCTATCCCAACCGCGCACAACGCGGACAAGCGAACACGCGCACTGCATATCGTAACACAACGTCGCATCGCGACAGGAAGAACCCAATCGCAATCTAAGCGGCCTCATCTGTGTCAGGCACGTCAACCAACAAACCCACACTGAAACGCCAAGGAAGAAGTCGCTCTCGGCGCTGGTTATGCACACCAAGTGGCCCAGGCAGCCTGAAACCCGACAACCAACAATGAACGGGCACGCCCTCGCTGAAAAAATGATACACTGCGTGGAGCTCCCCATATGTGCATCTATTCGCATGGGCCTGTCCGCCGTGAATGCCTAGGCGCAAGAGCTTTCGAATATCAACGGGCTTCAGTTGTGACGGTCTGGTCATGAATCTAACTGCGAATGAATTGGAGTGTGAATGAGCCTCAGTAGTACGAGCGCGTCGCTGCGTATGAGCCTGGGGCCTCCTGGGGCCTCCTGAAACCTACTGGGGCTTCCTGGGGCCTCCAGGAGCCTCTTGGAGTCTCCTGGGATCTCCCAGGGAGGCTTCGTGCCCCAAGAGAGGCCCAATATATAGCAACCGACGTACATAAAACGTTGCGGATTGGAGCCACAAGGGGAAGGGCAATATATAGGAGCACACGTAAAACACCAAGGACTCGTGCCCCAGGAGAGGTCCAACATATAGGAACATAAGTAAAACATTTAGGATTGTGTTCAGAAGAGAAGGACAGTCTATAGAACATACGTATAACGTCAAGGATTCGTGCTCCAGGTGAGGCCCAATCTATAGGAGCATACGTAAAACACATGGGGATTGGAGCCACTCCTGTTGCCTTCTGAGGCCTCCTGCTCCTGGGGCCTCTCGGGGCCTCCTGTTGCCTTCCGAAGTCTCCTGGCGCTTCCTGTGGCCTCCTGGGGCCTCCTGTGGCTTCCTGAGGCCTCCTGGAGCTTCCTGGGGCCTCCTGGAGCACCTTGGGGCATCTTGTGGCCTCTTCAATCTTTCTGTGGCCTCCTGATGCCTCCTGGGACCTCATGTAGTCCCCAGTGGCCTCCTGGAGCCGGTTGGAGCATCCTATGGCACCCTGAGGAAAATATGTGCCCACGAGTCTGGCCACCAAAACAAGCAAACCGAACGAGACATCCTCAAAATCTGGCCCACCTGGGGGTGAACATGAGCGCCTCGCTCGAGACATCCTCCAAATCTGCTCCGAAAGCGAAAGACGCTGGGCCAGAAAACAAGCAAACCGCTTGAAGCATCCCCTCACAACGGCCGCGAACGGGACCGTGTCATACCCCTCAGCAGCTCCCCTTAGGGGCGTGAAAATGAGCGCCTCGCTCGAGACATCCTCCAAATCTGCTCCGAACGCGAAAGACGTTGGGCCAGAAAACAAGCAAACCGCCTGAGACATCCCCACACACACACAACGGCCGCGAACGGGACCGTGTCATACCCCCTGGCGGCTCCCCTTGAGGGCGTGAAAATGAGCGCCTCGCTCGAGACATCCTCCAAATCTGCTCCGAGCACGAAGGATGTTGGGCCAGAAACAGGCAAACCGCTTGAGACATTCCCGCAAAACGGCCGAACGGGACCGTGTCATACCCCTCGGCGGCTCCCCTTAGGGGTGCTGAAACCAGCGCCCAGCCTGAGACATCCTCACAATCTGCTGTGTGTAGAGTAAGTCAGACAATTAGAAGGCCTGAGTACGAGTAAGTATGGGTATGAGTGAGTCTCAGCATGAGTAAGTCTGAGTATGAGTAGGTCTGAGTATGAGCAGGTCTGAGTAAGAGTAATATTGTGTGTGAGTAAGTCTGGGTATGAGTAAGTCTGAGTGTGAGTCAGTCTGTTGAAGAGTAAGTCTGGGTATGAGGAGGAGAGGGGACGAATCGGAATCGGAATCGGAACAGACGCGAAGCGTCAGAGGAGGAGAGGGGAGGAGAAGGAGAAGGAGAAGGAGAAGGAGGAGTAGGAGGCGTCAGAATACTAACAAGAACCCCATCTTAGGATATGGGGAATGACGCGGCTCCAACCTGCCGGAATATACATCTAGAGCCGAAGCGACCCCAGCGCCAAGGCGAAGGGACCACGCCCTCGAGAATCGCAAAGCCTGGCGGCGGCACGGTAGTTGTATGCTGGACAGCGCAGACCCCGCACGATGTGTTTCTGGCAGCAGATGTGGTGCCATCCATGTGGGGCAATCTGTGTGGTGTAATTTATGTTGCGCAACATCTGTTGTGCAATCTATGGTGTACAACCTCTGTTATGCAAGAGAGGTGGTGCGGTCTGCTTTGTGCAGCTGATGTGGTGGAATCGATGTGGAGCAACCTTCGTCGCAATCCATGTGGTGCTGACTATGCTGTGCCATCTATGGTGTGCAATCCATGTTGTGCAATGTGTGTTGTGCGATCTATGTGGTGCGCAATCTACGTGGTGCCATCCATGTGGAGCAAATGAGGTTGTGCAAAACATGTTGTCTAGCCTATGTCGCGTAATCTAAATGATTCGATGTATGTTGTCCAGTGCAGGCTGTGCAACATGTGCGGGGCAATCTACGTGGTACAATTTCGGTTGTGCACTCTACGTTGTACAAGGTAAATGTATGGGGCGACCCTTGAGGCACAATATAGGTTGTGCAACATATGTGGGGCAATCTGTGAGGTGCAATATATGTGGTGCAAATCACCGTGCCGAAATTGAACTTTCCAGCCCCACCGCTCGTGCAAGTATCCCACCCCTCCACCCGCACTCAGATTGCAAACCCTATGCGGCGGCGGCTGCCATGACTGCTTGGCGCTGTGCTGGCTGGCGCATGGCTGCGGCCACGCTCGCGCGCGCAGGCTCGCGCGCAGAATGGCCCGCTGGTCTGGCACCACCGACGCGGCCGTTGTGGCGCTGACCGCTGGGTAATTCCCAGCGCGTCTCGCAAGCCGCGCTGACGCGCGGGCACTTCATTGAGAGTCGGAGAATTGGGCGGGCGCGGTGTTATGGTGACACCGGCAAAAGCGGACACGACGATGATGGTGGCGGTGATGGTGACGATACGATGATAACGTTAGCGGCAGCAAGGCCAATGGCGGAGCCGATGCTGATCACGCCGATGACGATGATGGTGTCCACGCGTCGGTGATGAAGGTTTTGGAAGGAGTTCGACATGCGCGCGCGGCCGACGCGTGCGAGTGGCCAGCATGAGGCTATTTGACAAGGATCTTGCCCCCCCAGCACGCGCGCAAGGCCGCTCGAATGATTCCGACATGCGTGCGCAAGATGCTCGTCCGGTCTTGTTTGACGACAATGTTGAAAAACCCGACGGTCCCCCAAGAATTCGCAAGAGCGCGCGCGCAGACAACATTCTTACTATACACATATATATATATATAAACACAACTACATACACGTATTGCGACACAATGTGTTTGATATGTTTTCTGGAGGCTCGACTTTGCATTTCTTGGGAAACCTAAAGAGGCTTGAAAGATTTCGGCAGGCCCGCGCGACGACGCGCGCGTGTGCACTGCGTCCTGTGTTTTGCAAGGGGTTCTTGCAAATTGATAGTTTTTGATCGCGAACTCACGGGTACTGTTTTTTTGAAAGGGGATGGTGGAAAGTGAGTCGAATCCGGCTTGGCTGGAATGGTACGGACTCAAATCTAGAATGAACAATCGCCCAGAATAATATGCAACTTGCACATCCCCAGGGGGACCGATCATCCAGGCCTCGGGGAGATGGCGGATCCTAATTCTGTTTTCAGAAACATAGTTTATGCAATCTCTGATGTGGAACCTATGTTGTGCAGCCTACGTGGTGCAATCCATGTGGTGCAACAAATGTGGTGCACTCAATATTGTGCGATCTATGTGGTGTCCAACCGTTCTGGAGCAATCTATGACCACTATTGTGCTATCTATTTGGCGCGGCGACGGCGGCAACAAGCGCGGCAACCGACAGACAGACCCAGACGACGGGCGGCGACGAGGCGGCAACAGTGTGGCGACGGCGGCAACGTCGTCGCCAGACCGACAGACAGGCCCAAACAACGGGCGGCGACGGGGCGGCGACGGGGTGGCGATGGCGGCAATAAGCGTGGCGACCGACAGATACGCCCAGACGACGGGCGGCGACGAGGCGGCGATGGCGGCAGTATAGCCGTCAGACCGACAGACAGGCCCAGTTCCTGAGAAGACAAATAAGAACCCTTAAATGCAAGAATTGTTTGGGGAATGCCAAAGGAGATCACAAAAGAGGGATGAACGACAACGACCCGTCTGCTCCCAATCCTCCTCGCGCCCGTGGGATACGGAGATCCGTTTGAAGCAGTGCTTCGCTCCGAATACCAGAGTCGCACAGGCCAGGCCTCCTTTTTGTTCCTCTCCCTCTCTCTCTCTCTAACTCTCTCTCTCGCTATTTATAGCGTGATTTGTTTTAACATATGTTTCCCTTCTCTCTGTTTCTCCCTCCCTCTCCTTCTCCCCTATCCCTACCACATATCATCCTGCAAAAGCTCGAGCCGCCTAAGCGTTCCTCACCGGCGCGGGCAGGAGGAGCACGACCACGCAAAAGAACAGATCGAGATCACGGTCGGTCTGTCGTTTTGTTTCCTGCGCCAGTCTGCGCGATCATAAGCCTAGCAATTTACCCTAATCGAGATAAGGGTCTCCATGAACCGTCGGGGTTGCCATCATTTACTGACGGAGGCATGCAGGCTTTGATCAAACTTCGCAGCATGTCCAACGGCCATCATGGCAACCGGCAGAACTGCCACTGCATGAGGCCTGGTGCGTGGTGCCAGCGTCAGGACTCGAAGGCTGGTCATCATGGTCTGGCAAGCTGCGGGACATTTCGAAACGACTCCTCCCCCCACCCCTGCACCACATCCTCCCCCATCTTCTCGGGCTGCTGTTCGAAGAGCCACTGCAGGCGCTCAGCAAATGCACAGGGCCCATCCGCTGCGCAAGCCCCCAACACACCGCACAGGCTCCCACGAGTCCCCGCTGGAACCTGCGACCGCCGCGCAGACCGTCTGGCCAAAGCAGGGACGCGCCCGTGGCAGGTCCCGAAGGAGCAGACGTGGTTCACCCAAGCCGGTGAAAAGGCGGGCCGTGCAAGTGACCCAGTGAGTGGGGCGACTATGAAGGAAAACTGGAACACACAAATAAATACACACAAATAAAAATATCCCCCATATTTTCCTATATTTTCTGGGTTTCTGTCTTCCCCCTCACTTCCCATATTTTCCCATATTTTCTGGGAATCGCCGATTAATTGTGTCTGTGTGTTTTTTCCCCTCCTGAGACTGGCAGGCCACTGACCGGAGACCGACATCCGCGACTCGGACGGCGTCGCCGGCAGCTCCGATATCCCCGTGGAAATCGGAGCACGAAGAGATCGGGGCTCAGATGCCGCTCTCAGGCCCCTGATCCCTTGTGCCGTTGTCCTCCTCCTGGCCCCCCTTGTCCTCTTCCCTCCTGCGTCCCCTCCTCCCTCGCCTCATCTTCCTCCTCAGCTTCTTCCCTTTCCTTCTCCTCCTGGCGCCCGGAACGGGTGCGGGAAACATGTGTACGTTCCCCAATAGCGAAGGTTGCCCAACGCCGACAGCGGCCGCTGTTGGCCAAACGACTTTTTGCCCCAAGCGGACAACGCCCGCGGCGACAACGGCAGCGGACCCTGTCCCAAATGTGCAGGACCTGCCTACGTATTGGTCCTCGTCCCCACTCTTTCCGTCCCCACTTCGACCAGACCGCACGGATATGCACCTTCCGCTGCCCCTCTTCGCCGGTTCAAAGATGGGACGCTGATGGACGGGGTCCCAAGGGCAAGTGGCCTCAAACAGTGAAGACTTTGCTCTGGATCCACCTCATCCCCAGACCCCTGACCTTATATGTACATGTGCACACACATACACGAAACTATTTTCTAAAACATCGGCCCCAAAATGTCTCGACCAATTCCCCAGGACGAGTTCATCCTCCCGAACCGTTGTTTTGACGGCCCCGAGGCCCAGTAAGGGCCCCCAGAGGCAGAAACCTGCAAAACAACCGTGGTGATTTTACATGACTCGAGGGGGTCTGGGCCAGGGGGGCCTGGCGCCGATCCAGGAGATCCGCGCGGAGCTCTCAGAAATTACTGTTGTCCTCCTCCTTCTCTCCCGCTCCTCCTCCTCCTCCTCCTCCTCCTCCTCCTCCTCAACCTCCCCTCTCGGCTGCTGGCATGGAAATCCGTCGGATGCCGCCACGTCTTCTCCTCCTCCTCCTCCTCCTCCTCCTCCTCCTCCTCCTCGTCCTCCTCGTCCTCTGCCTCGTCATCGTCCTCTTCGTCGTCCTCCTCCTCCTCCTCCCCAGACATACGGCGTCTTAATTTCTCCGAGATACGGGTCCTCAGCCTCTCGACCAATTTTTGGCGACCTGTTTTCATCCCGAATCGTTTTGTTGACGGCCCCGAGGCCCGGTAAGGGCCCGGAGAGGCCGACACCTGCGAAACACCTTCGTCTCGACTTGTTCGAGACGCTGGATGCCTGGGTCCTCCTCGATGGCCCCATCCCTGAGGGCCACCACCTCTGAGCCGACCTCCCCCTATGCCGCGGCCGAGGGCGCCCCGAAAACGCGCGGGGGCCTGTGGGCCCGCCCCCCACGACCACGAAGGTGAGCAGCTCCCGGATCTGGCGGAAGACACGAGGCACACAGAGGGAGAGAGGGAGAGGGAGAGAAGGAGAAAGGGAGAGAAGAAGGGATACGGAGGGAGATAGGGAGGGAGAGGGAGATAGACAGAGGGAGGAGGAGGAGGAGGAGGAGGAGGAGGAGGAGGAGGAG